ATGTTTATGGAAAGTTTCATTCTTCAAGTAGCTTAGGAGGAGTAACGATAGCAAACTTGTGCTAACGAACGACGGCAAACGAAGAAAAACATGGTCTTCTGGTCTGTTACCAGTGTAGCTACTTAAAATTATTTTTAAAACAAATTACAATAAGTAACTAAATGCCAAATTTAACAGAAAATCACAGCTGACCGACTGATTATTTTGTTTTACTCCTCTGATGCCTTATCACAAACAAGAAAAAGTTTCTCTAAGGGACTGACGCTATTTTGCAGGAATTCAAGAAAAACAATTTCTTCTTTTTAACCGTTGAGTGTTGAAACCATCTCCGTTATTCTGCCGCGATAACAAGATTTTCAAATTAGTTGTTGTAGTGGATATATTAGATATCAGATTAACATCATTTTCATTCAGGTCAAAGTAGACATTATTAAAAGTCTTTTGGTGAAAACCCCTAAACACAATGGCCATCCATTCATGAAAAGTAGTGACAATAACAGTTTGAGGACAGTCGTCATGTAAACCATATTGGCTGTACGCATGGCAGTATTTTCATCTAGGACCAACTACGTATTATAAGATGGCTATTTCTGAAACCCATATGTTGATATAATCATCCATTTGGAGGCGTAGAAATCAGTATTATTAATATAGCCACCCTGATGGACCTATTAGTAGTAAGTGGGTGCGATATAGCAATAAGGGGACTACTTTCTTAAATAAAAGGTCCCCGGCACTATGGAGACAAGGAGAATTTAACATGGAAAATTTTAACATTGGTGGGCCATAGAGCGACAAGGGGATTTGAACATAGGGATATATAGCAACAAGGGTTTGTGCCTGTCTGGTGACAAGGGGAATTGAACAGGGGTGATGTCATGGTACTGGACTCTGACAACAATGTTTCAAGTGGCTGACCTCAATCGGGCCGAACAATGTGGCAAGGGGCTGACCTGAATACGCACTATTCAATGGACGAATAGAGACATAGACATAGAGACGTGGTTAGAGACAGGTTTAGAGACATGGAGTGGCCCTAAAAAGAACCTTTTATCTTTCTTCTATTTTGTCTTCTTTCATCTCTTATTTTCTCCATGACATTCTTCTTTCTTTCTTTCTCATATTTATCATCCTCATTCCTTTTCCTGTATCTCTTCTTTTTTTCTCTTTCGTTCGCCTCATCTTTTATGACCTTAGTATTGTATCTTCTTATCTCTTCTCTTTTTTCCAGATCATTCTTTTCTTCTTTCTGCTGTTTTGTCAGCTCTCTCCCTCTGTCTTTTGAGTTCTTCAAATCGTTAATTTCCATCTTGACTCTATGGGGACTATAACACCCATACTCCACTTTAACTAATCATTCCTCCACCATCCCCAGGTCATCTACTACCAGTTACAGCTTCATTTTCTCTACGATGTTGATGGTCATATTATTGTATTCAATGTTGAATAGGGCGATTGAGAAATACTCTATATGTTTCAAGCACGGATACGAAAGTAAACATCCCCTCTCACCAATTACCCATATCTCCTACCAAACAACAGTGATATAAGTGCTAACCTAAAATAAATTTGTATACGAAACAAGACACTAATACTAGGAAAACAACTGTACTTTCTGTCAATACATAGTGGAGAAGTAAATCTTTTATGTATAAAATACACCATTACAAACAATCACAGCAGCAAAGGAGTTAGAATTAAAGTGACACTACTTCACATTCACACAAATCAAACGCTCATGAGTGTAGGGACAAGGGGTTTGTTAAGGGGAAAAAGACACACACACACACACAAACGTACGCGTGCACACATAAAACAATCTAACGCTCTCACACACACACTCAACAGATATACACACACGTAAGCACACGCACAAATAACAACATAAAAAACACACAAAATTATATGATTTGCAACTTCATTAGTCTCTCTTTTCTAGAGATCTGGTCAGCCCCGAAAAGAGATGTTTTTTAATACACCTGGTTAATGTTCATACCTCCCAGGCCGAGCACCACAGACACATCTGCGACTCCAATTGAGTTCATTGTTGTTCTTGGGAGGAGCGCAGATGGTTGATGAGTGGCCTTATCATCCCAGTTTTCACTTTGAGGCATAGTGATGACTTGTTCCCTCTGTCTTCTATGCCAGACCCGAAGATGATGAGGTCTCTGCGGCTCCCATCCTTGCCGCTGTCTCTCCAACTCCTTTTACCAGTTTTCCATTTGGAGGACAGCAGCTTTTGGTACTGGTAGGATCATTTCTATCTTTTCTTTCTCCTATTCTTTCTTCTTTTTGTCCTCCTTCTCTTCTATCCTGTCACTTTCTTTGATCGCCTCCATGGCCAGCTCATCCTGGATTCGAATGGCATACTCCAGTTGTATCTGAAGCTCAAGAAATTTGGCTAGTCTGCTCATTATCTTCTACTTTGTAACGTTGACAATGGATAGTTGAAGAATGCATCACATTATATATATATATATATATATATATATATATATATATATATATATATATATATATATATATATATATATATATATATATATATATATGACTGAAACACGGACGTGAATGAAAACAACCACATACACAAAAACTAACAATATGATGTTGTCCATCCATCTATAAAACAATACCTACTCCACTATTAATAACATGGAATGCCTAAACTAAACGCTCATGCCCTCTTCTTCATACAAACATACTTTATTATCACTCAAAACATATAAAAAAACATTATCTTACAAGTCAGATATGAAGCACACTTTTTATAGGCACACTTCTGTATTTTACACACACACACACACACACACACACTCACACACACACAAACACACACACACACACACTGGAGATCGTCTCGTTTATATGACTCAAGAATGGACATTCCTACGATTTTCTTCAGGTAGGAATGCTATAGTTGATCTCATGGTGAGAGATAAAGAAAAGTCATGGAGCAAGTATAGTCATAAAATGTTTTTAAAACAAACCACCAACCATCCTTTTCTGTAATAACGTTTTTATTCAACCAACAAATAACCAAACCATAATTTAACATCAACATATTTTTCAAATAACCAATGTTTGACAAGGTTGACAATGTTGTGAAGTCAAGTTAGACTTTCACGGATGGAGGTCATTAGGCCATTTATATATACTAGATAAAGACAAAGGATATCCACAATGGTCGCAAAGCCATCGATCTACTTTTTCATCGTTTCTAGAAGAGTCACGATCAAAGTAAATCATAAAATGTTCTAAGGGTTATCTAAGAATGCGTCAATGCAGAATATACGCACATTACTGTCCACACACAATGGAATCTGTGTCTTGTAATTTCACATTACTGAAGCGAGTCGTCTGGACATTTCTTCTCATAAAATCGATGATGTCGTCTTCCAATATAGCGAATAGCTATGCTCACTATTTCTGAGAAAATAAATCATATCGATTTCATGCAGGTATATGTCGATTAAAGGTCCTTAAAGTTTACTAGGACGTCTAGCAAGCGGCTACCCTATGCCGACACCAAATAGTGTCTAGGAATTCAACTTTTCGATACGGAATGGAATCTGACCCTACAACTCAACATAATTTTCCAAGTATCAAAAATGGGGTGGCAAGGTTCAGAGGATTGTTATAGGGTTTAACGCCTTTTTTCAGCACAAGTAAGGCTATACATGGCGGCCAGTATTAATGGTGGAGGAAGAACCCTGGAAAACCCAAGGAAGAACCACCGACCCACGAGAAGCTACTGGTAGACTTTCTCACTTGCCCACTTTAGCCGAGTCTGGACTCGAACTCACGCAGACAGAGGTGAGATGGCAGTGATCCGTAACGGTCAACGCTTAATACCACTCGTCCACTCGGGGCCCCGTAAGGTTCAGAGGAAACTTGAACTAAATAAAGCAGAATAGAGGTATGCAAATATTCTGCTTAATGAAAATGTAGACAATTCAGTTGATGTCGATAAACTTTCAAGCCATCGGCTGTAAACGATGAAAATTTAAATGCTATAAGAATCTAAGTATTCAGGTCTTCCTTACATTTTGGCATGTATTTGTATATATTTTTGTTAACACAATAATTGGAAAATAACAGATGAAACACGTTTGTACCAAAAACGAGGGTCATTCTGTCTGGCTGATATGAGTGAGTGAGTGAGTGAGTGAGTGAGAGAGAGAGAGAGAGAGAGAGAGAGAGAGAGAGAGAGAGAGAGAGAGAGAGAGAGAGAGAGAGAGAGAGAGAGAGAGAGAGAGAGAGAGAGAGAGCATGGCGATAAACACCAGCTTGTCTACATTACATCTAATAAGTTTACTGTTAGCACTTTACCACCAACGACATAATATATTTCGATCCTATCTACACAGTCTTTTTTTTCTACTTGCAATTTGAACAAAACCACGTTAAAATAAACTCAATTTCAAATGTGGCAATTAAATAAAACGCCCAATGTTGGATCAAAAAATAAAAATAAAAAAATAAACTAAAGACTTAATTTAATGTTTTTGTCTCTAATAAAGAACGATTTGTGGCTAAGTTAGTGACTTGTCAACTATGTTGAAAATTTATTGTGTGCACACGATGTTGATGTCTAATTAAAACACTAAGTACTTATTCAAAAGTAACACGTCTGAAAATTGTATTACTTTGGGAACATGATTGGTCCTCACGGTTTTACTCCTGTTTTCCTGTTTATATATATATATATATATATATATATATATATATATATATATATATATATATATATATATATATATATATATACTAACTGGTTAGTTTTGAAAGCAGTGGTATAAAAGCCAATCTCATTGACTGGTCTTCAGCCAGTGACATACAAGCCCATTTAGCAGTGGAGCATCATGCCGCGGATATGTAGGATGATGTCCCACCCAGTCACATTATCATGACACGAGACCGATTAGTCATAACACTAACATCTTAATGATGAGCGCCAAGCGAGGAAGCAGTTGTACAAGTTTTATAAGTTGTTGGAATGACTCGGCCGGGATTTGAACCCACAACCTCCAGCATCCGAGGCGGACGCTCTAACCAAATAGTCTACCAGAACGGTCTGAGTCTATAACAGTTGCCCAACGAGTTATCCACAAACATTATTTTGAAGAATACACCTGGCTAATCCGGACATAGTAAGAGACTGAGTTAATTAAAACGACACAAAGAACAATTATAATATCATCCGCCATCCTCAGGGTGTATATCAAGTTTGACATAGTTTATTTTCGTTTAAATCAAGCTTAGTTAGTATTTGTGCAATTCTTAGCCCCCACATAAACTTTTGTGTTCATATCAATAAGGCTTTCATGCGTAGATTTTTGTAAATTTTTTCACATTTCTTGTCTAAATTTGAACCTGTTGTAGAGAGCAGACAGAAAATCAAAGTGACCAACACGAATAAACTAAATCCAGCAGTGTGAATAGGCCATTTGTATCAGATACGTCTCGAGCATATACAAGACAATATATCTTACATCGGAATGCTGACAGGAACATTTATTGGTCTCTCACTGAAGGGCAATCATGACAAGTGCCATTACTCCTGATGGCATACCGATCTAAGATAACTTGCCTAATACTCTCTACAATAGTTGTATATTATTACTCTCTACAATAGTTGTATATTATTAGATGATGCAAAACCTAACCCTTTCTTCGAGTCGGATATTTTTTGCAATATTTATTTTCAGTCTGCTTCTGGATTATTTCCTCTGCTGCCGACGGTTCAGTTAAATTCAAATATTATTTGACAACCTCCCTGTAAGTCTCTGCTCCCCGAGCAATTTTAAACAATAGTTCCTAGAAGGAAATGGCCTCTACTGGGCAAATCGTATTTCATTTGATAAGTCTATTTCTTCCTTTCAACCGGCGAGTGTTTAAACTATCTCTGATAATCTTCGGTGATAACAAGATTTTTAAATTAGTTGCTGTAGTACTTCATTAACTCTTTCTGTTGAAAACCCCTTATCGTAATTATCATCCATTCAGGGCGAATAATGACATCAAGATTTTGAAGACAGTCATCGTGACAGCCATATTGTTTGTACGCTTGGAATCATTTTCACGTTGGACCAACTATATATTATAATTATATTATTATTGAAAACTCCCTTGCTTATTTACCCATCCATTTAGAGATGAGTAGAGACAAAAAGAAACTCAAGATATGACATTCCATTAAAGACTGATTACCAAAAATTAGATTTTCAAGACAGCTACTCTGGCGGCCATACTGTACGTCAGAACGGCACCATTTTTATGCAATACTAACTGGGCATAATAAGAACTCTTCTGGTGAAAATCCCAGGTCAAAATGACTTCCTGTTCAAGTAGAGTTGTGATAAGCAGTGTTTGATGGCTGCCATGAGGCCATATTGGATGACAGATCGGTACCATTTTATTTAGGACTCTCTGGACATTATAGGAAGTCTTTCAGTGAAAACCCCTTGTTGATATGAATATCTATGTAAAAGGAGTAGCGATAACAGTTTTCAAGACGGCTATCGCGGTGACCATATTAGACGTCTGATTGGTACGAATTTTGCTTAGAACCAACTAGACAAAATAAGAGGTCTTTTAATGAAAATATCGTGTTGATATACCATGCACTCGAGAGGAATTGCGATAACAAGAATGGCCTTTGTACCAACCGTACTGGATGTGTAAGCAGCGCCTTTTTATTTAGATCCAACTGGACTATTTGATGAACATGCGGGTAATGTTTCAATGCAATCTTCCATGTAGCTTAGGAGGAGTAATGATCAGAATCATGTGCTAACGGATGGACGGACTTACGGACAGGCGATGGATAACAGACAATTCCAAACGTTTTTTCTGGTTCATAACCAGTAGAGCTAACAAAGAAAAGCAGAACGAATATTAAAATAATCGCACAAAATGGCCGTTTTATGCATACATTTATTATTTTTAACCCAAGAGTTGCTTGCACGGGGATTTTTCAGGGCAAACAACGAGACTGCTAGTTTTCCGATTCCGGTTTCTATAAAAAGTCCATCTTTTTGTCCTTACAATGCATAGAAGGTACATACTAAGTCGTCAGCATCTAATATACGCAATTTTTAGCTGTATAATTTCTTTGACATGTTGAAGAAAAAAAAACAACAGATATACAGGCGTAACTAATATACATGGGTTCAAACTTATAATTCTAAGTTAGGAAATTTACTGAATAAAGACGTATACAGGTGTAACTAAAGATTAGGAACTTCATATCTCCTGCTGTTTAAAAAATAGACTCGCCCATCCAAAATCGCCATAGTCATAGTAAAGCAACTCCATTGATTTTGAATCGTGAAAATGATGGCAGTTTTAGGCACCAGCAGGCGACAGTCATGTTATAAATGATATGACGACGTTTTATGCAATTTATTTTATTCTTAGTTCTTTCCTTTATTTAAATCTACAAGGAGCAAGAAATTGTCAGGGAGTTGGAGGTTGGCAAATACTGTTTCTTTTTCTTCATTTTTTATAGAAATATCCCAGGTTAGATACTGTCAATGGTGGGTGGGGAGGTGATTTGTACAAAATGTTAGAAACTTTATTAAGAAAACAGTACTATGTACAAGTTAGCCATTCTAAAAAAAGAAAATGAACAAGTCAGTTGTTGTGGGTCTATCGCCATTTTTTAGCACACGATAGGTTAAACATGGCGGCTGGTATTAATGGTGGAGGAAGAAACCGTGAAATCCGCGGAAAGAACCACCGATCCACGAGAAGCTACTGGCATGCTTTTTCACATATCCACATTCGCCGAATCTTAGACTCGAACCCATGCAGACAGAGGTGAGATGGCAAAGATCCGTAACGGAGAGCCCTTTAGACCACTCGGTCACTCGGGGCCCCTGCACGGCAGACATACAAAATAGAGCTATCCATTATACCGCAGTACGCCTAATGGGACCTGATAATGTAGAGTAAAATCGTTTAATGTCACACAGTTACTTATGTTGTGCTTAGACTGAATTTTAGACATCAGGTACTGGAAAAAAGAAATTATGGAATTGAAAATCTGAACATGTGATACATTGCTCAGCAAAAATCTATTTTTCAAACATGCACAAGTGACCGACATAATCAAGAGCCCACAATTGTTGGGAGGTTATTTCAACGGTAATTTACATATATCACTGACTTCTTAACAATAGCTTATGAGTTAAAACATGATATATTGGCTCTTTTGCTCGATAAATTATACCTTATTATGACAAAATACAATATTTAGTCTAATGAACCCGTGTAGTAATGGTTGTTTCACCCGATCGATCATCTAATATAATTATTTGTTTTAATTTCAAAACCTTTACTGCCTTGACGTAGAAAATTGGACTATACGCTTCATAACTTATCAAGGGCCCGCTACTCTACCAATAGTATTCGTGTTCACCTCATTACAAGAGGACAAACTCAGCATTTGATAATCAAAGTACGAATAATTGAAATTGTAAAGAACCTTGACGCCAGAAAATAGCTAAAGAATCACGATCTGCCGATATTAATTTTATTTTAATACATCATTAAATACAGTTAACAGTTACATGTAGTAAACAGTATCTGATTTATCGCTGTAATAAAATATATCTTTGTTACGCTCAATAAAATTTGTTTAATTTAGTAACTGTCTGATTGGTTAATTTCTCTGTGTATTTATATAGTAGATTATATGACTATTAAAGTCATATTTCAGGGGTGTAATTATGAATGTCCTTGACGGGGACTGGGCTAAAACATATGGGCAAGGAGTCTGCTGGATGTAATCTCTAGTTGAGTTTCAGGAATTCAGTGCCAGATTAAACCCCGCAAATACTTTCCTAATACGTCAAGATCAATTCAATATTATTTTGATCCGTTGTTGTGGGACCCCTAAAAGGCTTGGATCCCATATGCTGATGCCCACTCTGCTTGTTTGGCAATCCGGCACTGGCAAAATCCGGGGGGGGGGGAAGAGGGCTTCTGCGCTTTTAGCGTTTACATGGCATAAGTTTAAACATTTTACTATAAAGAAAAATTGCTATTGGTAAAGTTCAGTTTTTTCGCAACAAATTTTATATTTTTATATTTATAGGGATGGGTGGGTGGTGCTTGCCAGTTCCACCTACTCATCCACATCATATATTTTAGAAACGAATTTAAAAAATATCTGAACGAAAATGAAAATACGAAAATATTCAACTATTCCTCTAGAGAACATAAACATTAAAGTGAAATTGAACGTAGGAAAACACTCAGCGATTCCTCATGATGGAATGAATAATGAGGTGAAACTTAAGGTAAAACAGCACTTAACTATCCGTAAGGTGAAACTAAAGCTATTAAAACACTCAACTGTTCCTCTATCTGGGACTATACATAAGTAAAACTGAAGGCACGTAAACCCCCAGCTTTTCCTCCAGTTGATACGATCAATAAGGAGAATGTGAAACTAAAAGTACGGAAGCACTAAAGTATTCCTCTATCTGGCATGACGAATAAAATGAAATTTAATGTACGTAAACACTCATATTTCCTCTAGCATGACGAATAAAATGAAATTTAAGGTACGTAAACACTCACTTTCCCATAGCATGACGAATAAAATGAAATTTAAGGTACGTAAACACTCACATTTCCTCTAGCATCACGAATAAAATGAAATTTAAGGTACGTAAACACTCACATTTCCTCTAGCATCACGAATAAAATGAAATTTAAGGTACGTAAACACTCACATTTCCTCTAGCATCACGAATAAAATGAAATTTAAGGTACGTAAACACTCACATTTCCTCTAGCATCACGAATAACATGAAATTTAAGTTACGTAAACACTCACACTTCCTCTAGCATGATGAATAAAATGAAATTTAAGGTACGTAAACACTCACACTTCCTCTAGCATGACGAATAAAATGAAATTTAAGGTACGTAAACACTCACATTTCCTCTAGCATGACGAATAATATGAAATTTAAGGTACGTAAACACTCACACTTCCTCTAGCATGATGAATAAAATGAAATTTAAGGTACGTAAACACTCACACTTCCTCTAGCATGACGAA